TAAGTCCCCAATCTGCACTTTCAATTACAGTGGGAAAGGTTCTATTATTTTTTTAAATCCCCCTTTCCACATATCCCTTATAATCAAATCATTTGTCATTGTTTGTTCTGATTGTTTTTGCAAGCTAAAGGATAAAGTGAGCGCCATTACTTCAGCAGTATATGATTTGCTTCAAAAAAACCTCTCCCATTGATCCAACGAAGGTAGTAGAAGTCCGTGTAAGCAGGTAAAAATAAGTGCCTGCCACTGAATGCGATCTCCATGCCCCAAACAGAATGCCGGGTTCCCTCTTTGCATACAACTTACGGGGCTGAGCCTGTGGTTGTCAACACACTGGATCAGAACCACATGCATAAAGTCTAATGGGTCACCAAATTGCAACAGCAGCTTCATTCATCTTGCCACTCCTTTGCTCATTCCTTGGCCACTGAGAGGCTTGGACACAGTAGGACAATACAAACTCACACCGCTCTCTTGCGTGGGATCTTTAAGAGGTCCACCCTTACAGCAGTTATGGGGAAAGTGGAGCCCTTCAGGCCTTGTTGAAGTTCTCATTAGCTCTTTAGCCCTCAGGATGAGCTATGCTAGTTTGGCTTAAGGAGTCTAATTAAACATCTGGAGGGCCACACATGCCCCATACCTGATTTACAGGAAAGTCATGAGCAGAAGTAGCAGAAGAAAAACATGGAAATGTGGCATGGAAGAGGGAAGTCACTTGGAAACAGGTTTGCTTTATGTGCAATCGAACAGCGGTGCTTGACTGCTATGTCACCTGACTGACTGAACTAGAAGTATTTTAGCACAGCTCAGTCATTTAATGTGTCCGATAAGCTGTTCATCAATATTTAAGACACACGGGGCTCTTCCAGACACGACACTTAATGTGCAATTACCGCAACTCATTCATAGCATTCTACAGGGGTCCCAGATGCCACCATCTTCCGCTTGTAACCCCCCCCCATACTTTCCCAGCACTTCTTCCATTTCTTCTTTGCCGCCGAATCTCTGTTAAGTTGGAAATCAAAACAGCAGCAAAGCATCTTTTGATTGGTAGCACAAGGAGCAGTCCTTCTGGAAGCAGCCATGATCTTTGCTTACACTGCAGTCCTATTTGCCTGGGAGGAAGCCCCATTGAACTCAATGGGTATTACTGCTGAGCAGACACATATAGGATGGCATTGTTAATCAATGATATGAACATAAAAGTCTGTGTAACTTGTAAAAGTCAAGCAGTTTTCTTACAGAAAAAGAAGTTCTTGCTTTTGCTAACAGACACATGGAAGTTGCATGGAGAATACTATGTGAACTTTAAAATGCCTTACAATATATTAACCCATGCTGATAATGAGCCACGAAACTGACAGGACTTACTTCCTCCTCCTGACATTAGCAGCAGCATTAGGCTTTAATTTAATTCCTTGCACAAGGAACTTTACCTCTTGACTGTCTCCAATTAGATCCTAACTTTAAAGAAAGCCTGCCTCATCTCACATTTGAAAGCTTCCCAAATCTCATCATGCATTCCCCTAGAAGGGTCTGTTCTTGGGTTTAAAGACTGCTACAGAACATCAAAGCATCCACCCAAGCCATTGCCACCCATCTTCATCCAGGTGGCTGCCCTCCTGACTCAAGTCCAATGGAAAGGCAGGAGTAGCAATGGGGGAAGGTCTTTGTCAGGCACTGATTTCCTTACAGTGCAATCCGAGTTGTGCCTTCTAACTCCCCTCACAAAGGCCTAAGCATCAATGCATGCCTCAAGCTTCTGTATCCTCTCTAAGTGCAGACTGAAATGTGCAGAAGCATCAACTAAGTACCACCCTCTTAGTTGGCTATGGCAGCTCAGGGCCAACCCCAACATGACTGGTCTCTCCTGATCACACAGACAATGTACCAATCCATGCTATCACACAGGGCAGTTCTGAGGAGGTTTCTGAGGACTAACTCAAATGGAGCAAAGCTCAGGGAGCCAAGGTTCCGTTTGGATGCCAGGAAGCACTTCCTGACAGTCGGGACCCCGAGGGTGTGGAATGGGCTTCCACCAGAGGTCGTTGAGGCCCCATCGGTGTGGGTGTTCAAGGATAGGCTGGACGTGCACATGGTGGGCATGTCGTGAGTGGAGCCGGCTGGTGCCGGAGGTCAGACTAGATGGCCCAGGAGGTCCCTTCTGACTCACTCTGTTTCTATGTTTCTATGTGTCTACCAGCAGCACAGTCCCGGAGTGGAGATAATCATCTCAAGCGAGGAGCTCCTCTCACCCTGAAATGAAGACGGTCCTCCCACCAGGCATTTAATGTATCAAAGAGAAGCTGCTTGCCATGTATTTGATAAAGCACCATCCCCTGATGGGGACTTCATCTCACACACCGCTTGGGCAAGATGCCGCCACCTGTGGATCAAGCTATTTCTTCCTTTCACGGCAGCTCTCTGAGCCAAGTTCCCATCTTGGGGAGGCTTTTCATGAAGAGCAGGGGGTGCCGTGTGGAGCTGACAGGACAAGCTCCACTGCGTGATGCAGGATGATTTTTAAGCTACCTCACCAGGCTTTGACTGTAGCTTATTGGCTAGTGGAGATACTGAACTTTTGCATATTGAAATAAGCCAGGTCTGCCAGTTGCAAAATGCACAATGGAGTGGCAGGTGGTCCTACCTGGCAACATCTTGGGGAAAAGTCCTGCTCTCTTTGCCCAAGAGACAAAGCAGTCCAGCCAGCATGACATCAGATTTGGAAAGGTCTGGAGCTTACTGCCCAATGTGCTCTGCATGAATTTGCTATTCAATTAACTTTAATATTCTTGTGCAGATACATGTTTGGGAAGCTCATAATTTTGAACTGTTTCACTGCACAATGTCACTCACCTATACCTCATTTGAATTTCTATGCTTGAATGAAGTTTGGCTCACTAGTAACCCTGGAAAAAAATCAAAATCGGATTCAAATTCTTAAGATACAACTGAGCATGAAGAGGGAAGGGTGTCCTGAATGTAATTTTAAGGAGAATGAAGGCTGGTTGCCAATGCTTTCCTTTTCAGTGATTAATGATCTCAGAGTTTTCCTGAAAGACTGAAAAAGTAATATCACTGTTTTACTGACCACAACTGAATGCAGGACTACCACTAAATGAACGTTTGTTTCTTTTTACAGAGAAGTAATGTAGGTTGGGTGATTCATCACGGTTCTGCTATCCTTCCTTGCTCACAAATGGGCTGTTAGACAGAAGATACACTCAGAAGCAACTCAGGTCACTTTATCTTTTGCTTTGGTTTCTATTAGTAGAGAAGACCTTTGCTAGAGGGTAGCCCCATGAAGGACTAGAGATTCTGACCAGAACTTGTCAGCAGGACCTCTCAAAGACTCTGTTGGACAGTGCTGTTGCTGGCAGCACTCAATCCCACTCCACCTACATCAGTATGGGAAAGCTTCTTGGAAACTGCCTTATGCTGAGCCAGAGGACCATTGGTTGATCTAGCCCAGCACTGTCAACACTGACTGGCAGCAGCTCTCTGGGGTTTGAAGCAGGAGTTTCTTCTGCCCTTCCTGGAGATGGTGACCATCAAGCCTGCGACCTTCTGTATGTAAAGCAGGTGCTCACCCACTTGGCTAAGGATCCTCTTCCGAGATATCAGAGTGCCATGTAAGTTTATAATGGCAGTGCAGTGCCGAAGTTCACTAAAAGGAGACTCACAGCAGTCACTCGGGCCACTTGATCTGTTGCTCACACTCCAATATAGGTCAAACCAAGGGAGCATTCTTGATGGAGGAAACTCTGTTTGTGTGAAAGGACCTGCAATGGATGCTGCTTTGGATTCAGATCCTGGCACTGTCATTGTATCAGGATTCCTGCTGGCTTGCCATACCGGTCCTTTTGCTGGCTCATTTGTCCTCTGGTTGGAATCTCCAGCCCTTCATGGTGCTACCTTCTATCAAAGGTCTTCTCTACTATAAATTGAGCCAAAAGGTAACACAAGCTCCATTAGAATGCGTCTGGCAGCACATTTGTGAGCAAGGAAGGAGAGTGGAAAGCAATTTTCAGCCGCTGATACTCAGCCAATCTATGCAGTGCTTCGGGTCCAGTGAACTATGGCATGCAGCTGACCTATAACTCAGTCCTGTGTACATTTACTCAAAACAAGTTCCACTGAGTTCAACAGAACTTATTCCCAAGCAAGTGCCTACAAGACTGCAAATCTAAAACGGGAGTAAAGGGTGATTCTCTCTGCAGGGAAATGCAAAGGAATCACAAGCAAGTGAGCCAAGCATCTGAGCTCACGTTTGGCCTCAGAGGAGAAGACACATGTACATGCACAAAAAGATGGCTTGCCTTAAATAGCTTGGAGATGGTTGTCCAAGAGCAGAACATTCCCTGGAACAGGCTGGGAACTGAATCCTTTGGTCTTCAGGAAGCGATCTAGTTCTGCTAAGATTAGCTAACATAAACATGGATGAGACAAAGCAGCACCGGTTGACCACTTCCGTACCGGTCCTTTAGCTACAGGAACAGATCACCACTGGTGCACTGGAATGTCCCTTTGATCTCAGTCCTCACATGCCCAGTGTACTCTGGAGGTCCTGCAACCCCATGGAACAGATTTCAAGAGGGGGCTGCCATAGAGGGGAAATCCATTCCACCAGCAGTTTCCATTCTGCTGGCAGACAGCCAGCCCTGGCTAGAGATGCATGCATAGAAGATCACGGTAATTACATTGTGAGCTGTTTACTCCAGGTGAATGTGTCCCAAATATGGGCTAATGAAGGCAAAAGCATTCATCCTGTTCTCTCTAGAGCCCACGAGGACCCTCTGCTCAGCACAGAATGCACCACTGTCTCCAATGCAGGTTGCATCAGCACCTACTGCTTTCCAGTTGGCATTGCATGGATGGTCCTCAGCAGCTCCTGCATTGCTCTCAAGACCTCCAATCACTGGCTGCTATGGCCCTGGCATTTTTGAACACTGCTTTCCTAGCGGGGGAATCAAGACACGTACAGAGTTTGAAACAACAACTCACATCACTTATACCTTCTGTATTATGCAAAAGGGAACCTTTTGTTCATGTGATTTCAATAACATTTGTACCTCAAGACTCAAACTTAAAAATCGTACCAGACCATTTAACCAAAGAAGGCTTTAACTTTCCTCCTGCAATATATCAGCCCTCCCACCAGAGAAAATAAGGAGACATACCTATGTGAGGAATTACATTAACATACTCCAGTGAAGAAATAAACACCGAAACAACTAAACAAACAAAGCGAATTAATAAAGATGGTGGTTTCTGCACCTTCCACTTCCCCAGTTATGCATCTTGCCATAACTTATCCAGGATGATTCTTGCCAGTGTTCCCATAAACCATGTTGTACAACACACATGCAAATGAGAGGTGATGTCATGTCTGAAAGCCAGTGAGGCCAAGCAAATCCACCAGGAGTTCACATTAAGCATTGTCAAGGACACCAATTGCAACAACTCCATGGGATCACAGACCACAAGGTTTCCTGGAGAGGGAGGAATGGAAGGGAGCAGCTGTCAGTCGTCGTCACACCTAAGCCTCGCTTGCTGGGATGTCCCCTTCCTCAGCCTTGCGTTGCTGTCCAGTTTCCTATTGTGTTACTCGCATTGAGGAAACGGGGAACAGATGGGCTGTCTCCAGTGGTGCTTTCATACATCGCGGAGTGCTTTGTTAATGAATCCAAAAACACTAACATTTCAGCTGAAATGGTTACTGGCTGAGGATCACAATCAAAATATTCAGGGTTTAAAGGTAATCAGACTTCATCCCCCACCCTAACCCTCTTCCATTCCCAGAGTCTCATGCAAAAGCATCAGAGAAATCGTCGCTGGGCAACCATCATGTTGCCTGGAGCAGCTCCCACTGTTGGCCCAGGGTGTCGGACTGGCAGATGTTGGTCACTAGCTTGCTGGACTGGTTTTCTAGGCACAAGCCACTGACAAAGTGCTGAATGAAGCTGCCTTTCATCTTCCATTTCTGCAAAGGAGAGGGAAGAAGAAGATCAAGATACGAAACCTTCCTCTTTGCTTTGCTTGGTTTCATGCTGTAGACTTTTAAAGAAAAAGAGAAAGCTATATTGAGCCAGTTTGCACAACCAGACAAGCCAGGGTGTCTTACATGGGATGCACCTTATTTAATTTGGGACTTAGGGAAGTGGTGCCTGACACATGCTGGGGATTTTTAAAAGCCACGGTGGCTGGTTTTCATCCTGCAGACTGGGTCAGTGTCTGTGACACACTCTGCACGCTCCACAGTAGCTAAATGAACTACAGTGACGACAACAACAATGAAGCTTAAGCAAGCTATTCCAGTTTCACATTGCATGAGTGTCACTGTCTTACATTTCTGGCACAGGCACAGAAGTTTCAAGACTAAGCCATCATCAAAGATCCTTATAACACACTGAGATAGCTCAATGATAAAAGGATTTGAGGTGTCACAGCACCCAAACTACTAAGTGGTTCAGCTTCATTCTAGCAGTGTGACACTTGAGGCATCAAGACTGACATGGTTAAGGGCATGGAACAGGTTCACACATTCAGCTAACTGGGATTCTGGTTCAGGTGATGACAATCAAATCTTTGACCCACTCACAAGGGGCTGCTTTTATTCCCAGGTGGAGCCTCTCACTGTGAATAAATTTCCTCTAGCAAATATCTGCACAACAATAAATGGTTGTTTGTTACAAGGCCATTTATACTTGAGTACTGATACCCAAGTTCAAACCAACTAAGTCAGGAAGGGCACAAATATACTTAATGGGTTTTCTCTTTAAAGTGTACTTGTTTCTCAGTTCCCTCTCATACATATCTGAAGGAGAAAATATCCAATTATATATGTGTATATGTATATATGGGCATGCATTTTCTCCTTGGATATTTGTATTTCACTACAAAGCATCTCAAAGAAGATGTAACTCCTAACAAGTACCTGTGTCAAGTACTTTTTGGTATAGCAGCCAAGGAGTAAAGTATTATTTGTGCAAACTCTGAGCTTTAAATAGCTAATAATATTCCAATTTATTAGCATACAAAGCAGTAGTTTATATGGTTGAGTGGTGTTTTCTTTTGGCCCTTCTCTGCTACTGTGATTTATCTTGCTTGCACAAATCATCCAACTATGTTATCTGCTTTGTAAGTACTGTTTTATAGTCTGTACTTGTTTCTTTAGAATACCATGGTCCAAAACATCCACAGATAGTCTTGCCTGATAGCAGAGAAAAGGCTTACATAGTCAGGGGTTCCCTCCAACTTTGTCATTCATTTTTTAAGCATGTGAAATAAAATTGGGGGTTCTGCCTTTCTTGCCACAAACATGGCAGCTCCCTGTTCAGCCAGGCCTGTGCTTCTGGAAGCCAGCCTGATTTGGCATAACGTACAGTGGCAGTATAGATCTGAGAGCTCCCTGATGCTGATGCTGCAGCCTGTTCACTAGGTTAGAGAAGTGGCCGATAGGTCTGAGCCCTCCCACCTGCTGGGCTTTCCTCATTTCCTTCTTTAGTCTGGCAGATGGTCAGACTTGGGATACTAAATGAGTACCTGTCTCATCTGCTTGACTGATGGGACAGAAAGGACAGCTTGTCAGCTTGTACTGATGGGCCTAAAGTTCTTTTGTAGTCAAATATGGATGGAGTTATGCAGGTGGGCATCACTGCCTGGACTGCCTGCCTGGCCCCTTCCAATTAATGCTGCTACATGCTTTGCATCCACAATGAGCCACTCTTCTCAGGTTGACACGCAGAACAGTTTAAATAGCCAAGACATATGCTGTAGGTTGTAGGGCCAGCAGATGCTGAAATTTATAAACCCCCAACGTAAGGGCTTCATTAGCAACTATCATTAGCTCATTTCCTTAGAAGTATCACCCAGCTGCACCTGATTTCCCTTTACAAGATCGTTATTTATCTTGATGCAATTATGCAGTCTTCAAGACGTGTAACCTCCAGCCATTTTAGAGGTTCCTACAGCGATGCTAGGCTTCTCTACAGGAGGCATTTATTGTGCATTCATGATCTCTCACTCACAGATGTTTGTGAGTCCTTTCCACAACATTGTCATCCCCCAGGGTTTCTCCTGTGTTTTCCAGCATTTTTTGATGGTGTTTTAGAGTGAGGAACGCCTGGTATTACATTTCAAACCAGAACAAAGGCTATGTGAAAAATTGCAAAGCCATTGCACAGCAGCTATACTATAGCACCACCTTGTGGCTCAAAGATGAAACACACAGAAAGGCAGAGAAAGGGAAGCTCCAGGGAGGGGGTACCTATTTAAAGGATGCCCTTTTCCTCCCACATGGAAAATGGAAGAAGAAGCCTTAGTAAAGTGGCAACTGAAATATCTCATGTAGCAAATCCCTTCACAGGAGCATCCTAAGCACTAGTGTTGAATCTCCTTCCAGGTCCTGGGTCTTTCAGTTTTGTATGCTCTCTTTTATGAGAGTAAACTATTCAGATGGACAGAGGATCAGCCTGAGAGAAAGAAGCTTGCCAGTTCAAGAGAGAGACAGCTGCAGCCTTCCCCAGTCTGGTGTTCTGTATCTGAATTAAACTACAACTCCCTGTGGTTGGCTGGGGGGGGGATGCTGGAAGTTGAGGTGCAAATACACCTGGGAGGCACCAAGCTGCTAGCCAGGGGATGCTTCCCGCACCGGGAGGTACCAGACTGAAGAAGGCGAGTCTATGTGACTGCAATGTCCTCACTGATGTTTACATGGCAAGAAAGGCCTTGTCTGTGCTGCTTTTAAAAACTATGGACAGGTGTTTGAAGCAGCACAGCATCTTGGGGGCAGGTGGGGTCTGTCAAGGAATGGCACAACTGTGGTGAACATTGTGCCATCCTGAGCAGGGGCATCTCTCCTTCACATCAAAAGAGCTCAGCGTGAACGGAGGCGAAGGGAACCCACACGCTGATCTCTGGCTGGCGACGTGACGACAAAGGCCTCTGCAGCCTTCTCCTCCCCTGCTGAATTCAGTCTCCTACTCAGTCAGGGGTCCCCTTGCCTAGAGGAGAAATGGGAGCTCAGCCCTCTCCCCCATCACACACCTCAGGGGTGTTCACGTGAGGCAGGTGTGAGGCACATGGGGAGCTGTCTAGGTAGAGGCTAGCTTGACTCATGAGCAGCCACCTCACAGCTTACCTTGGCTCTGTGGGAGTGGAGGTGTGTGAGTGCGTACCCACTCTCTCAAGATACGCATCAGCAAAGTACAGACATCCAGCCTTTCATTCTTATACATTAACTATCCAATAAGTTTTAGTTACAATCAGTAGGCTACGGTTATACGCAATACACATTTCATTGTGTTTTCCTTGCCCGTTGTTGCAAATAAAGCCTGACAGATTTCATGAGGGAAAGTAAGACAGAAAATGTCAGATGCACTTATGTTAAAGCAGGGAAGACCACAGTCTTGATTTGCAACCCTTATGCGACTTCTCACCTGAGATTTAAGAGAAAAGGGAGGCCTTAAAGCAAGCCACTCCCTTCCATATTCTGCATTGCAGTCCAGTTACTGTAGCACATCCCAAGGGCAAAGGAGCAAGATAACAGAGTCTAGATGCAAAGATGTGATGAACCATGCAGTTCCACACCACAGCAAAACGAATGGAAAGACTGCAAATGCAGCTCCATGTATACATTCAGGCTGCTTATGCCACGGAGGGCTGTTCCTGGAATGAGCACAAAACCAGAAAACACTCAAGATTTCCCCAACAGAAAGGAACTGTCCTGGCAAGCAGGTGGCGGGGCAAGCTCTTTCGTGTCCTTGGCAAGCTCTCGCTTAGGAGAGCTGCTGTACCCAGTGGGGCATAGCTCAGCAGTGAGCATGAGGTTCAGTAGTGGTCATGGGATTCTGTTGCTCTCCTGGTCAACCCAGAGAAGAATGTTCTTAAGGCACATGGCTTTGTTCTACAGGTTTAGTAGAACTGCTTTTGACCTGCTTTGGGAAAGAAAATACCTTGGTTGCCTGGTGGCTGAACTCAGAAGATATTTATTTTCTATTTCTATTTATATCCTGCCTTTTTCCTACAAAGGGCTCAAGGCAGCTTACATCTCCTCCATCTTATCCTCACAACAACAACCCTGTGAGGTAGGTTGGTCTGAGAGTCTGTGACTGGCCCAAAGTCACCCAGTTGGCTCCATGGCTGAGCGGGGACTCGAACCCAGATCGTTTAAGTCCCAGTCCCATGCTCTTAACCACTACACCACACTGGCTCTCCCTGTCTGTTCCCCATGAGTGCTCAGTAGCATCCAGTATCATCAGTTACAGGCATAATCCTACGTGTGTTTAGACAGAAAATGTCCTCTAACTCCCAGCATTCCCCAACCAGCACTGGGAATTATAGGACTTTTCCCCTGTCTGAACATGCATAAGATTGTACCCTAAGTTGGTGCATGGATTTTAGCAGAGGGTCTCAGAAGCTGGTGCTGAGGGTCCTTTACTCCATGTGACAGTCAACAGCTTTAGTATTGTTCCTGACAACATCTGCATGAAACTGACATGAGAAGTTATCTAGCAATTTGGGCTTCAGTATCACCAGTATACTGAGATACTGCAGTATACTCCCAAAGCTCTCGCTCTCGTTTTGATCTGATCCTGCAGAAGTAGTGGAGATTCTGAACTGCATGGAGGCGAGAAACTGAATCTTAACTAAGAAAAGATGGAGTTACTGTTGGCTGGATAACTAGACGATCCAGAATTAGGTACACTGCACACAGATTATTTGGGATGGCTTTGCACTCGCTAAAGAAAAGGTTTCTAGTGTGTTTGTTTATTTGGGCATTTCTAATGCTGCCTTTCAATAATAAAATCAAAGTAGTTGTCAAGAGGCTATAGTGAAACCTCTGCCACTGGACATTTTTAGAAACACTTGAGGGACAAGAATAGATCAGTTTCTCCTGCTATACTATCCTGCTATAAGGCTGTCCTTAATGGATGGTGGGAAACTGTCTTCTGACAAGGATAACATTAGGATTTCTGCATT